TTGCGGCCAAATTCAAAGAGTGGCACACGCCGCAAGCACATCAGTCTTCTTCGTGCATCTTTTTCTCAGACCTGGAGGGCTTTCTCTTTCGATTTGGGCGAGGGGGAGCGACTCATTGCTGAGCTGGTGCGCAACACCTGGGAGAGAGAGAGAGAGAGAGAGAGAAAGAGAGACCGACGACACGCTGAAAATATTGAAATCCATCGGAAACGAAGATGCCAGCATAGGGTCCGCATGGGCACATCATGGAAATACCGAAACACAGGGCACGAAAAGAACAATGACTCTGTCATTTGGGACATTGGGAGCACGGGGCGGAGGTAAATTTTGGAGGGAGGACAAGAGCATGAATGGAGGAGCCAACAAACCAACTCTATAACTTCACTACGCCAATTTTGGAACTTGCCAGAGTGGGGGCTGGCGTCAAAGGCGCCGTTGTTGCGCCCGCTCGTCTGGACGCCGCGCCGTCGGGTAAAAGATACCGAGTCTGCGTGGAAGGCAGCGCCATGAGCGAGCCAACCAGGCCAAGCAGACTCGACCGGGACCTCGCCGCAGAAGGTGGGGATGCATTGTTAATGAGGAGACGACGCTTGACCAAGGGATCCCACTGATATAAATACTTCATCAACACAAGCACCCTGCGTATCAACCAAAGTATCCGTCCTGTTCTTTCTGGAATCGGATTTTCATTTCAATCGCCTTCGAAACTGTTCGAACTTGTTACAGACTCTCAGGTCTTGGCTGGCATGCTCAACGGAACGAGTCAACTTCGAGAAAATGTCCGCATTGCCCTTGAAGGGACACTCCAGGATTTGAGCACTTTGCTGTTAGAGGATTTCGGTACCCAATTTGACTGGTCAGACTCCGTAGAATGGCGACCTCGACATCAGAATCGGGAGGCCGATTTGATCGTCAACCACTGCATGGACAATAACATGTCGTATCTGGTATCCAGTCAGTGCCTACAACATCAGACACCCGACAATAATTTCTTCTCTTGTCTGATGGCGGCCACTGCGCTGGATCCCAGGGCCGGTGATTAGCGCGGATCATTCAAGAGGCGGATTCTATACTGCGGTCTTTCGAGGTCCAGCAAAGAGCCAAACGAAAAAGCAGGCCCCCAGGAGACCCCATGAGGCACCCAGGAGGTCCCACGAGGCCGTCTCCTCCTTCTCCTCCTCCTCCTCCTCCTTTTTCTTGTCCTCCTCTTCTCCTCTCTCTTCCTCGCCCAAGTGTTCCCCCATGGGTTTCCACAATGGCTGGGGGACCACATAGCCCGATGGCTCGGCCAGACTTTGGCCCAACGTTTGCCTACATAGGTGTCTACAGAAAGGCAGGGTGCGGCGGCGACTCGCTGTAGGCGTCTTCGATCCGCCGCCCCCCCTGTGGTATGTCCACGGGGTGTTTGGTGTGCTAAACATTGAAATAAGATCTGTTCTCATCCTGGCCCTTCCAGCAAGTTTGAGGTGGCCCAGGGACACACACACACACACATAAATACACACAAATCCCAGGATTCCCATCTATTTTCCAATATTTTCTGGTTTTTCGTTTCCACCCCACTTCTCATATTTCCCCATATTTTCTGGAAAATCGACGATTCATTGTGTCTGTGTGTATCATTCCCTCCTGAAAGTTCCCAATGGGGTACGGGCGCGTCCCGCCAGCCACTCGGCCAAAAAAAGGAGAGTCAGGTCAGGACACCTAGCATTCAATATCAACTGCTGCCACGGTGGCCCTAAGACGCCTCCAAGACGTCCAAGGTGGCCCCAAGAGAGCCCGATGGCCCTAATTATGCCTCCAATGTTGCCTACTATGGGCCCTCAACCGGCCCAATATGACCTCAGCACGGCCGCGGGACGCCCTCGTTACGCTCCAGATTGCTCCAAGAGGACCTCCACAAGGCCCGCACGAGGCAACACACATGACTTTCCGATGGTTTTCCGCTGGCTTTCGGGTTGTTATCATTTCGGGCTTCCGACAGCCGCAGACGGCCGCAGGGGCTTCCAATATAGCCCCCAGGCGGCCCAAGAAGTTCCCAAGAGGCCCCAAGACGGGCCAAGAGGCCCCCAAGACGGCCCAGAGAGGCTCCCAAGCTGGCCTCCGAAGGCGTCCGACGGGCCAAGGAAGCCCTAAGACGGCCCAAGAGGCCCCTCAGGGACCCCCAAGAGGCCCTCAGGAAGCCCCAGGAGGCCCCAAGAGGCCTCCTCGTCCTCCTCCTCCTCCTCCTCCTCCTCCTCCTCCTCCTCCTCCTCCCTCTCCTCCTGTCTTCCTTACCCAAGTGGTCTCCTGGGGGAACACATAGTCTCATAGTTCGGCCAGACTTTGGCCCAACGTTTGGCCACATAGGCGCTCCTAAAGGCAGGGGGCGGCAGTGGCTCGCCGTAGGCGTCTTCGATCATAAAGCAAAAGGGGAAGTATAAGCTTCAAGAATCCTACCCGTGCCAGGCACCTCCGTCATCAACAAAACACAGATGAAACAATTCATCTCGCTGTCAAAGAAAATCCAGAACACTGGCATCTGTCACTGATTTCGCCAGGGTGCGCGACCACAGAAGAAAGACACGGACCGATGTATGCACTCTAGGTGTGGAAGCAGATGCAGATGGAGGTGCGGAGAAGGCAGAGTGATGGAAGGACGATCGGAGGCAGCGTGGAGCGTGCGCCTACTACCAGCCTGGTGGGAATACTCAAAGTCTGGTGGAAAAACCAAGCGCTGGGAGAGCCGGAGCCCTGCCAGGGCCCCGTACACGTTACGCGGGGACCCTGACGAGTCAGGGCACCGGCGCACCCGAGACAGCTGCAGCCGTGGGTGGCAGCATGCTCCGCTCTTCGTTCTCTCCCGCTGTAGCTGGCAGAGCCCTGGCTTGCAGTCCCCCTCTTTGAGAGAAACAGTTGTCAAGGCGCTGGGCAGGTGCAGAGCACGACTTTGTAGTGAACAGCTTCGACGTACGCGGTAATACTGATGATCTGATCGTGTCTCCCAACCTCATCCTCCCAACCCTCGAACTGTCGTTGTGACTTGCAAAGTCCCCCTCTTTGAGGGGCAACAGTGGGGGGACTGACGTAGCGGGGGAAACATCGACCTGGAATCGGCGATACATCGCCGATAGATCGGCGATAGGCCCCCGATAGCGACTCCGCACCTTCCTGGGCGGGGTGGGGCTATCAGATCCCCTATCGGCGATCAATGGGCGATTGGGAGTCGATGTGTTCCACCCTATGCCTCTCCCTCCCCTACCCGTCGGTCGGAAGAAGCGGGCAGAAACACGAAGTACGAAGGCTTTCAAAGTAGATTGGGCTTCCGCCCGTATTCTGAAGGGGAAGAGAAGGGGAAAACCGCCCGACTCTTGAAGCAGGAAGGCGCCGAAAGTAGATCGGAGTCCGGGAATCCAGAACTGCCTGCCTTCGACGACTGGCGTGCATCTCGGGCGGGTGGTAATTGGGGGCGACCCCAAAGAGGGGGTGAAGGAAAGGGCCCCTCTGGGGCCCCTCTCTTAAGCCCCCCTTTGGGTCCCCCCCCATTGCCGCCCGCCCGTGCATCGTTGCCTTCGCCTCTTCCGGGGCCCCGACCCACGGAGGGCTGCTGCGGAGCCGGCACGCCCTCCTCCTCCTCCTCCTCCTCGTCCTCCTCCTCCTCCTCCTCCTCCTCCGCCTCCTCCTCCTCCTCCTCCTCCTCCTCCTCCTCCTCCTCCGGCCGCGGAGCTCGGCAGGAGGCGGGTCACCCGCTGGGCGGAGACGGGGCGGGCGGCCCGCGGGCCCCCCGCGAGAGGGGAGCGCGGCGCGCCCCGCGCACTCCGTCCGCGAGGCGGGGGGGCCCCCGGGAGGAGGAGGAGGAGGAGGAGGAGGAGGAGGAGGAGGAGGAGGAGGAGGAGGAGGAGGAGGAGGAGGAGGAGGCGGAGGAGGAGGACGAGGAGGAGGAGGAGGAGGGGGAGGATGGGAGGAGGAGGATTGGGGAGGGGGCGGAGGAGGAGGAGGAGGAGGAGGAGGAGGAGGAGGAGGCGGAGGAGGAGGAGGAGGAGGAGGAGGAGGAGGAGGAGGCGCCCGCGCCCGCGGAGGGCCAGTGGGTGCGGCAAGGCTCTGGGTCGGGGGCGGCGAGGGGGGCGAAGAGCGTCGAGGGGGGAGCAAAAGGCAGTCAACCCGCAGAGGAAGGATGCGCGAGAGGGGTGCAAGGGCCTCGGGCGCCCACGTCGAAGCTGCTCGAGCAGGGCGCGGCCAGCGAAGGTGGCCAAGGATGGACCGAGGAGGTAAGGATGCAAGGGTACCCTTGGGAAGGTTGCCCGTCATTGCTATGCGGGTTGACTGTAGCACAAAGGGGAGCAAGACGGGTCGGTCGGAAGAAGTAGGTGAAACCATGAAGCAGGAAAGCGGATATAGAGCAGACTGGGTTCAGGCCCTGCCGGAGAATGACAGAACACAGCGCAGAAGCATGTCGATTCTTGAAGTAGGAAGGCGCTAGCAGCAGATTGAGCTCTGGGAATCCCAGAAGATCCACTTTCAACGACCGACATGTGCAGGTACCCAGGGGCGCCGATGGTCCGTGCATTCGGCGAGGCTTCCGTGTGAAAATCCGTGGAATGCCCGCGCTTGGGCTATTCGCCCCTGCCGTCGCCTCCGACTGGACTGCGCGCCAGGCGGCCCCTGGAGCAGACTCAGACCTGGCTGGCCTCAGCAGGCCCGTCGGGCAGCCTGTAGCAGCCGTCGCCGCCTCTGGCGGCGCCGGCCGCGGCGCTCCAGCCCTCCACCACCCTGGGGGCCTGTTGATGAAGGGGCCCTGGGACACGCAAATAAACAGACACAAATAACAGAATTCCCCATATTTTCCCTATATTTTCTGGGCTTTTGTCTCCCCCCCACTTCCCATGTCTTTGCATATTTTCCTGGGGATCGACGATTATTTGTGTCTGTGTGTTTTTTCCCTCCTGAGTTGAGGCCAGCCAGGTCTATCTCTGGGGGCTGCCTGTGCGCAGCCCTACTGGCCTTGCCAGGCGGGTGCCAGGTCAGCCCTTCTGTGTTGCGCAGTCGTAGAGCAGCAGCAGGGAGATGGCGCCGGCCGCCGCGCCACGTGTTGGTGTTCCGCACCGATCGCTCTCGAGCGCGTAGATCAGCAGCGCCGGAGAGACCAGCGCCTCTCGGGGACGTGGGGCGGTGGGCCTGCCTGCGGGTGGCCCGATGAGCTTCTTGGCAGTGTCCCAGGGAGGTCTCGGAGGAGCAAGCTTCGGGGGAATGCTCGAGGAGCAGACATTTTCTCGTCGTCATCACTCGTCGTCATCGTCTTCTTGTTTCTTTCAGCTTTTATCGCATTGCTTCCTACATCCGCCCTCTTCTCTTTGCTCTGCCTTGCCACTCAGGACTATTCGTTTCACAATCAAGTTTTGCCCAAGGAGCCGTTTTGGGGCGCCCTGGGGGCCCCGTTCGGCTGCCTTGGGCCTTCTTGGGCTGTCTGGAGCTTCTGCGGGGGCCCTCTTGGGGCGTCTCGGGACCAGCCCTGGCCGTGTTGGACCCTTCTTGGGGCGATCTCAGAGGCCTCTTGGGTCGTCTTGGGTGCTCTGCAAACCGAAGCGGGGAGTATGGCACAAACGTGTAAAGTCCGAGCGAAATTCACTAATAACTTGGCCTCTTGGACCATTCTTGCGGATCCTCTCGGGGCCCCTTGGGCCGTCTTTACCGGCCTTCTTGGGTCCATCTTGGGCCATCTTTGGCGCGACTTGGCCGTATGGGAAGGCCGTTCGAGCCCTCCTGAGGCCTTCTGAGACTCTCTGGGGCCGTCTTGGGGCCATGGGTGGGGGCCCTCGTGGCCTCATTTGGGGCGCTTGAGGCCCCGGTTCGAACCCCCCCACTCTCCCTTCCCAGCGTGCATAGAACGCGCGCTCTTTCCGATCACTGGGCATCAAGCTTAGCCGCGACCATTTGGGTCGAACCAATCAGCAACACTCATGTACAACTTGCTCTCAGGACCCTCATTCCCTTGGCGCGACGAGCAACGATCCTTAGCGCGACCACTGAACATATGGCTAAAGCAAGGGCACGCTGGCCGATTGCCAACAATAAGTGCGCTTATATTGAATATAATCCTGTTGCGCCAAGTGCGCTCCACAAGCTGTAATGCAGCTCTCACAGCGATTGCAATGTGTTAAGCAGCGATTCGACAGAATTGAGAGCCTGATGGCGCAATCAGAAACGCAACTCAGCAAGCAGACGTCAACTATGCCCACGTGGCGCATGTTCCCACATGCCTTCACGTTGACAAAAGATGGCACGACGCATCTGCTTTCAGAGCCTCAACATGCGCAACATGATATCAGATCGTCTGTAACTTCAAGAACGTGACACAGACAGCACTTGTGTTGACGTTCTCGTTGTCAGTATACTGTTCTACCACTCTCCACACCTGCACTTCGTGGGGCGCACTGCGACTGGAATTCGAAAGAACGTAGCAAACGATGCTTCCTCTTATTTTGACAGCACAAAATGCGCCGGACAACGTTGACTGCAGTCGCCCCTTTCCGTGCTCGTCTTCCCTCCTCCCTCGTGACCCCTCACACGGAGCAGTGAGCATTGGGGCAGGGGCGCTGCTCGGCCAGTTGCCGCGAGCACCTTGACGAGCGAAACTGTCGTCTGGTAGCCGTGCCCACCACGCGCAAGCCGGAGCACCTGACAGGCGGCCGCAACAAAAACGCAAAAGCACGGCGTTTAGCTGCGCAGACCTGCCAAGCGCGGGCCTCAAAAAACGGGCGGCCCCGGACCTCCGACGTCGCGCCTTTCTGTCGTGGCGTGGGCCCGCGGACCTCTCGACCGCGCCCCCGGGGGCCAGCTCGTCGTCGCGGGCCGTCCTTTTGACGGCCCCCAGCCCAGAGAGCAAGCAGCGCCCGGTGGGGCTCGCCACTGGGGCCCCCCCCCACCTCCTCGAGGAAGATGGCGCCGCAAGAGTCTCCAGCCCCCCAAAACCTTCAAAAACGTCCCAACCGTCCGAACACCTCCTTGATCGCCGATCCTGAGGAAGAGCTACCGGCCCCCTAGCGGTGACCCCACCGGGCGTTGCCTGACCCTCCTCGTCCTGTTTCTTTGTCTGCGGCCGGCCTAATCCCCTGAACAGTGGCGGGTGGGGGGGTGGGCAGGCGACGCCGATCGCCTGGGGCCCGCGGACCTCACCCCGCGAGGGCGGCAGTGGTGGCGGCGGCGACGAGCACCAGCCAGGAGGCATCATTCAGGACGCAGCGGAGATGATGACGGGGGGGAGGGCCATAATAAAACCCAAGATGCGCTCAGGGTGCTGCAATGCACCCTTCCGTCCCAGGTCCCCTCCGCATCAGTCCCTGCCGATGCTGCCGGAAGCGCCCCCCCTTTAAGACGAGCGCGCCGTGGGCCTGCCATGCAGGCGAGGCCCTGCTTGATCAAGGATTCGCTTCCGTCCTTCTGGGTAAGAGAAGTGAGGTCAAGCACGTCTACCATACAACGTATCAGTAAGTGTCCAACGAGAGCTCCTCTCTGCAAAGGAGCCGCCCTCCACCCATGTAGCTGTTGGATATCTTCAAATCGCACGTGCGCGGCGCCAAGACGAGAATGCCACTTTGAAACAGTATCAGCCTCCATCCGTGTAGGCAGTGGACATGTGTCAGACGAGTGTGCGCGGCGCCACGACTAGATCCCGAACTTGAAAAGGATAAAGCTTTCACAAGTGTCGCTGTTTGACATGCTTAAATCGAGTGTGCACGGCGCCAAAACGCAAGCCCCATTTTGACAAGGACCCACCTTCCACCCAGACATTCTTGTTTTATGTACGGGTGTGCGCGCCGCTGAGGCAACAAAAACCCATTTAGAAAAGTACGGCCCTCCATCCGTATAACAAACGGATTTTTAGTTTCAGGTGAGCGTTTTTTTATTCGGCGTTTCTACATTGGGCGGAAAGGGGGGGTGGGGGGATCTGGCTCCGGACCTCTGCTTAGTGAGACTTTTTGAAACAATGCGTCCCATGGGGGAGGCCCCACCTGTTCGAAACAGGCGCCAAAAACGACCAATATCCACTCCAGGGGGGGGGGGGGAGGGGGGGGTACGAGGGCCAGCGCCAGTCGGCAAAACAATGAAGCACAAAACGACGACTAATGCGAGCGGCGCCAAAAACCATAACCATTTTTTGAAACAAATCCAGCCTCCATCCGTGAAGCTGCGAAATGTTTCAACACGAGTGCGCGCAAAACCAAGGCGAGAACCCCATTTTGGAACGATGCCGTCCTCCATCCGTGCAAAATGTGGAACTGTTTGAAGTGAGTGTGCGCGGCGCTAATGCGAGAACGCCATTTTGAAAAGGAGCTGCCGTCCGTCCGTGCAACACATGAGAATTTCCAGCTTTAGGAACATAGATGATGAGGACGTCTCGAGCGAAATGCCCCGCCAACCCTGACGACACGTGTGGTAGCGCGACAAGGGAGAATCACCAATATTGATAAAATGTTGAAAACGATGAAACACAACCCCCGAAATGTCTCTCAATCAACCTTGAACGATGCCCTGGGTACAAATCCCCCCCCCATAGATGCGTATCGGACACGAGAACGGACATGTAACATTAAATCACCCAGCCCTTCTGACCTTTTGGCGTTCCTCGTGATGATAAGGATGAGGAAAATAATGCATGATCCCGTTTGCCATGCCCACGGACTCTTTCACCCGGCCGCAAAAACATAAATCACCACACCGTCCTTGCGCGGGTGCGTGCCTTTGAAAATCCTGTAATTCGATCTATCAGAGTTATTTCTCGTGGCGTGCCGACAATCTTCAGAATAGTAATTGCAAATGTCCACGTACATCACAAATTGGTATATCGAGTCTCACGCACACGAGCAGTGCCGAACCATCTGGGCACTGCATCGAGAGCAGTCCGTGACCTCTGGAGGCGATTGCAATCAACGCGGGAGGAAGGGAGCCAAAACGACCCTCAGACGAAGGCGTGGTTGATTCGCCCAAAACAGATCCGGCTTGGCTGCGAATCTTCTGGCATGCTCTGCGCCCCCAGTAGGACGCGCACCGCTCCTAGTCGTGGTGGCACTTGCCTCGGACATGGGTTCTGGTGCTGGCTCGCGACGGGCCAGGGAACAACACTGAATATCCAGGGCTGACCAGAGCGTCAACAGACGGGCGGCCAGGCAGCGCTCGCCTTAACGTCGACCCTTGCTAGCTCCACCGCCGAACCCAAGACGAAATGGCGCGCTTCGCTGTACGATCGTCAGCGTCGTTGTCGCATTTATCCCAGAACTGCTGGGATGTTGAATCTGCAGCGTCGGCAACATGAGCCTTCACTCTGCGGGCAAGAAGACAAGGACACCGACTGCGCAAGGAAACCGAGTGCGCAAAGCCGTGCGAGCGGTGCGACAGCGGTAAAAAGGAGGGTGACTGAGGTGACGGTGATGCCATTTTTACGGGTGGTGGTGCCGGGGGCCTTGTACGCAGGGCGCGTGCCACTCGCAGGAACTTGCTGTCCAAGAGTGCCTGTGGGTGGGTTATCTTGAAATGGCCGAGCGCCTGGGCCCAAATGGCCACGCACGTCGGGCAAGGAAGAGGATGCTCTTTCGTGTTGGCACGCGGGGACGTATGCTCGCAGAGCCCAGCAATGGTAAATTGACCGTGAACGAAATGATTGTGATGCCCCTTTTACGGGTGGCGGCGCCGGGGGCCCTGTACGCATGGTACCTGACACTCCCGGGAACTTGATGTCCCCCCTTCGCGATGGGAGTGATTCACCAGAAGAAACGGAGAGGGGGGGTGGAAGAGATATGAGACCTGGAGGTGAGAAAGGGATACTGGGGCCCCCTCCCCGGACACTGCGAGCGTCGAGGGCCCGACCGCCTTCTCACCTCGCTCTTTCTCCCCCTTCTTTTACGACGCCGTCGCCGCCGCTCGCCGCTCGCGCGCGCTCAGGGGTCGAAAGGCCTGGTCTCGAAATCCTACCCAATCTCCATCGGGTATTCTGCGGTTGCGGCCCCCTTCCCGCCCAGACCCCCGCCCCCGCGCGCGGAAGAAGGGTGGGCGCCCCCGACGGAAGGAGGCGGGCCCCCGCCGTGGAAGGGTCCCGCGGGAGGGCGGGGGGCCGAGGCTATCCCGTGGGCACGGCGTGCCACCGCTCGGGCCTCCCCTGCACGGGGGCAGCCGCCGAGCCCCGCGGGGGCGCAACCCAGGGCGAACGGTCGACGGCCCCTAAACGGGGATGTGTTCCGAGCGGTCATCAGCTGCAGCTGCGCCCGCGGTGCCGTGGCGGGTGCAGTCTGCTGGGCCGCTCGCGGGCTGGCGCCTCCTCGACGGTGCTCTTTCCTGCTTGGGCGCTGTTGCAGCCACTCCAGCTCCGCCTGCGCGACGTCGTCCGAGGCGAACTGAGCGGGCTGTCACCGCGGCTCGAGCGCACGCGTCGCTCGCTGCTCCCGTGGCCGTGCCCAGCTGCGGGTTTCCTTCCTCTCGAGGCGGCCGCTCTCCCCTTGACGATCGACTCGTGGAGTTTTTGGGCGGCTCGCAGTAGTGGCAGTTGGCTGGGGCGTGCGCGATGACGTGGCCGCCCGTGAACCTGGCCACCGTCGGCCTCCCTGACCACAGGCGTCAGCCTCGCCTTGCACGTGATCTCTGTGGCTGTGTGCTACTCGCGGACCTCCTGCCAATCCTCGTCTCCTGGCTCCGAACTCGGCGAAAGGGGGACTCTGTTCGCCTGGCGGACTGGTTCCCGTCCCGAATGGTCGTATGGAGTGCTGCCACTCGCTCTCGCCCTTCCTCCGCGGTCCTCCGCCTCGGCCCAATCAACATCTTTCCTGCGCGCTGGCATGGCAGGCGCAAGGGAGGATACTCTCCTCGTGTAGGTCGGGCGCGGCGTCGTGGGTGCAGACCCCAAGGCCAGTTTCATACCTTAATCGTTCTTCTGAAATGGCCAAACGCCTGAGCTGAAAAGGCCAAAGACGTCGGTCAAGGAACAAGCTGCACTTTCACGTTGGTACACGGGGGCGTATAATCGTGCCCGCATGAATTCTACTCTAGAAAAGCTGCGTTGCCGACTGCCTGGGGTACGGATTCCTTCTCAATATGTCCCCGCTACGTTTTCATACTGGATCGCATTCTAAAGGTCCTGGAGCCGAGCCGGGCCCCAAGAGTCCGACATCGACTCAACTCATGCGAAGCTACAGCACCAATTTTCAATCCTCCTCCTCCTCCTCCTTTCTCCCTCCTCGACGAGGCGGCGGTCGCCTGGCACAGCATGTTCGTGCAGTACGCGCCGAAACTGCATGCTCGGTCCTCCCCCTCCTCGTGACTCGTGACTGCGGACCGTCTCCTCCGCAGAGCCAAGCCCTCGAAGCGTCCAACCTCCTCCTCCTCCTCCTCCTCCTCCTCCTCCTCTCCGCATCCGCACTCGCCTGCCTCCTCCTCCTCCTCCTTCTCCTCCTCCTCCTCGTCGCCGCCGCCGCCGCCGCCGCCGCCCCTCGCGCCCCAGGGCCGCCGTAGGCCGCCGAGGGCCTCCGAGGGCCGTCGATGGCCGCCGAGGGTCCTCGAACGTCCTGTCCCCCCGTCCTCGACCCTCCTCGAGGAGGCGGCGGCCGCCTGGCACAGCAGGTTCGTCCAGCACACCCCGTACACGGCCACGTGCGCCGCGGCCCCGCATGCCTGGCCGCAGGACGCCGTGGCCGCCTCCTGGCCCAACGGCGGAGGAGGAGGAGGAGGAGGAGGAGGAGGAGGAGGAGGAGGAGGAGGAGGAGGAGGAGGAGGAGGAGGAGGAGGAGGAGGAGGAGGAGCGGAGGAGGAGGAGGGCGGAGGAGGAGGAGGAGGAGGAGGAGGAGGAGGAGGAGGAGGAGGAGGAGGAGGAGGGGAGGAGGAGGAGGAGGAGGAGGAGGAGGAGGAGATCGAGCGTGCCCAAAAAGGTTCATCCAGGAGGAGGATGAGGATGAGGATGGGGATGAGGATCATGCTGCTGCTGCTGACGAGGAGAAGAAGGAGAAGGAGAAGGAGGAGGAAGAAAAGGAGGAGGAGGAGGAGGAGGAGGAGGAGGAGGAGGAGGAGGAGGAGGAGGAGGAGGAAGAAAAGTTCCTTCTGGGCTCGCTTGGCCTTCTCAGTATCGCTGCAGATTTTAAGCCAGAAGCCTGATCGGGTGGCCTTGTGCAGGCATTCTTTGCCCAACCCCCAAAGCTGCTGGTCTCCAAACCACAGCCGGCACATAACCAAATGTTTTCATCCTGACTCAACCGCATGTGATGAGTTTTCTTTTTTGTGTTTCCTGGCGCCTCCTGGCACTGGAGGCGCATGGTCCCAGCAGCACTCCTGTCCATACCGCGCTGGTGCCCTCCGAATAGAGTTCTGCGAGAAAGCCTGCCTCCTGATCTGCGTACCGGAGCCTCTGACCCAAACCGTGGTACAAAACGAGACGATAAGCGGCAGCCGGCGCCCCCCCCCTCAGCGATGTGTAACTCCTGCCCCTGCAGGAACGAAGGAGGAGGGGGAGCAGAGGGAAGAGCCGGAGCTCCGCAGAACTCCTG